ACAAAAAAAACAATAAATGATGAACCATGTGGGATTTATCTTATGTCGGGGCTTCTATAGTGTTGTAAGGAAACAAGGGCCAAGTAAGACTTGAGCCAATGTATCAGTGGTTGAACATGTGAGATTCGTCTTCTATTGTTAACAACACTATGGACAACGCCATTAGTGTATGGGTTCAAGTCATGGTTAGGTAATAGGAACATCCAAGTGCTGGAACCACGGTTTAAGTCATGGTTAGGTAATAAGGACATCCATGTAATCAACAAGGATTTTCTCCGTTCTTTATTTGGAAATTGAAAGATGATCATAGACTTGTGAGTGAGATTTTTGTTGTTGGGTTTGACGACACCGATAAAAATACACAGTGAGCCTAGAAGAGCATAAGAAAAAAGACATGGAATAGTACATATTAAATTAGATCATATAATATATATTAGTTTAAAGGTAATTTTCAGAAAAGTCCAAATATTTTGGTTTATTGGTAATAAATAATAAAAAAGCCCTAAAATTTTGATTAATTAATGAAAAAGCCCCAAAATTTTGATTAATTAATGAAAAAGCCCCAAAATTTTGATTAATTAACGAAAAAAGACGAGATACCGGCTAAATCTGTGAAACCGGCCACGAAGGGTTAATCCGAAGTTTTAGTCGGTAATCTGTCCTTTTTTGTAAACAAAATTTAATTTGGAACTAAATCGTAAACTGACCTAAAATAGTGGGACTTTTTCGCAGATTTCCCAGAATAAAATTTAGAACTCAGAGGATCTCCGAACAAAGGTTTTTTTATAATTAGTATTACTATGAGTTTTTTTTAAATAAGCATTCATTAACATAGCTTTTTTTTTTTTAATTTTGACCACTTAATATACTTTCACAACTTATACATATAACCTCTTTTATTTTAACAAATATTTCAATTTAACCTTTTAATTATATAACTTAGTTTTAAATATCTTTTTATTTCTTTACTATTTAATTATTCTTATTAAATATTAATAACATCTCATTTATAAAATAAAACTTTTATGACGATGATATAATATTTTCAATGTTTTTATGTTCTTTTTATAGCTATAACATACTATTTTTTTCGTGTTTTACTTACGTAAATAATGAACTGATATTTATATATCCGTATTCAATAATTATTTTTGTTAAAAAATAGACTAATTAAATAAAAAAGATTTTATAAAACATTTTAAAAAGATAAGGGAAAATTAGTTAAATTTATCAAAAAAGCTCTTTAATAAACTTAACCATTGGAGCAGTATTTTGATTAGAGATCAAATTAATGGAATTATGATGTGACACTTGTTAAAGATGTGGTACTTATTTATAGTATAATTATTGGAAATGCTCTTACATAATAATTAACATGATACTAATTAGATATTATTACAGTATTAAGTTTTACTCTCTAAATGTAATTTACTAAAATAATAATAAAGTAATTACATACATTTTTTAGTATTAAGTTATATTAAGTAAATAGTAATATGCTCGTGAAACTTTGCTTACAAGTCCACTACACAGACACAATCTCATCGACATCTCATCTATACTCAAGAAACTCCGTTTAATTGTCATCTTCCATAGCTCTTCGCCACCACTACTATCAGGCTCGTATCCGGTTACCTTCATCCTAATCACACACAATCATTGGTCAAACTCTTTTTTAAGTGTGTGTGTGAGAGAGAGAGAGAGAGAGAGAGATGTGGACAAGAGGTGAAGAGGTGCGGTGGATATAATTTAACCTTTTTAATTAAATAAAAACCACATGGTCATGAAATTGGTAATGATAGGTTATAGAGACCAAATAAGCAGATGAAAACCGACCTTATGCCTCCATTAAGCAACAAAAAAATAAAATAAAAGGACCAATTTAACATATTCGATTTCCTAATAAAAGGGATAAAGAAAAACTTAACTTCACTTTTCAAAAGTAAAAGGATAAGCGTGTTATTGGTTTGAAATTTTTTCGTGTTTTATAGAAAAAAAAATAAAGGGCCAGAAACCATGTTTGGTTCAATATTTTTTTTCCAAAAATTTATAGGGGAAAAGAATTTTCAATTTCTAAATTACTTATAACATGAAAAAAAATGATAATGGTTGTTTTCCCTAGTTTTACATTTATAGTTTTTTAAATACCTTACACAAGCTCACACCTCCGCTCCTAACCCTAGCCCAATCCCGACATCCACCCCCATGCCCACCCGGAATCTTGCACAATATTCAAGCTCAAACAATCTACCTACATCAACCTGATCAAAGCAACAGTTAGATGCATGAGATCACACCATTGCTACACAACGACCTAAGGTCCCGTTTGATGGTTGCTGATTGAGAAAGTGCTGACTGAGAAGGTTTGTCTGGGTAAGAAATTTTGACCGAGTAAGAAATGATATTGTATGATTATACATCTGATCGAATATGCTGACTGATGAAAATTACCATTTTACTCTGCTGCTCTATATAATGATGCATGAAGTTCTTCAAGAGTTACAAACATCATAAAAAATATAAATTACAAACAAATCATTTAAAAATCCAAATAAAAATTATAAAAGAAATCATTGTTTTTATACAATTATAAATAAATTCATTGTTTTTCAACAATTCAAAAAATCCGATCATTGATCATATTCACATTCATCAATCAATTTAAGCAAGTCATGGATGAAATTGAAGAATCGAGAACATGGAATTTCAAACCAAATACTAGCAACATAATTCATCCATACCAATATCAAGAATAAGAACACGGGATTTCAAACCAAAGTCACACTTTCAATCCTTAACAAAGACAGTTATCTTTTTGGAATTTTAACTTCATTTAGCCACAAGTCAGAAGCATGACATTATAAAATGATTTGAGTTCAATCTAATTAAAATACTATATTTGTAGCAGGTGTGAATATTCATAGCAATTTAAAAGAATGAGTAGTTCAAAGTTGTTTCTCTCCTTTTTCCCTTATCTTTTCCTTCATCTGTTTTGCTTTTTTCTCTTTTTCCAACACCATTTTAAGGATTATGATCCCCAATATAACGCTGCAGGTGAAATGCTATTTAGTTATAATTAGCATCCATAACTGGAGCAACAATAGTGATTAAATAGAAACATAACAACAAAAAATGTGTATGAACATATATGAATTCAACAACAAAAATGATTTCAAGCTATAGAGCAGATATGTGTATGAACATATGTGAATTCAACAGCAAAAATCAGAACTTTTCAAACAAGAACATAACAACAAAAAATCAGAACTTTTTGAGAAGTTTAAACACGAACAGAACAACAAAAATCGGACCATTCACTTATGAACATGACAGAAATCGAAACCAATAAACACGTTCAACAGAAAAATTCGAAATCAAAACCTATTCTCAGTCGACTGTTATGTAGAAATCAAATAAATTAGAAAAATGAGAAATCAAACAGGAACATAAATATGTCGATCTTCTATTAAATTTCGCATAATTTATTAGACCTAATTATGTAAAATCATACTTGATGAGGAGAGGCAGTCGATGGATCGTTGGTATGGAGAAGATCGTTGATGCTTGTTGGTTGATGCGTGGCTATGGAGGCGATGCAAGAAGGAGAAGAATGAGGATGGAGGCACTGAAAAGAACGGTAGGGCAAGGGTAAAGTTGGAAAATGCATCTTCCTTTCTCAGTCAGCTATTTTCCTTCTTCATCCAAATCAGATTTTTGTTACCGAGTCAGATGCCCAAATTTGAATTATCAAACATGTTTTACTACCCGAATCAACCAAAAACGTCTGACCAAATCGTCTGACCGGACTCGGTCAAACGTATATCAAACACTCCCTAAGTTGTATTCACTACGACACCACCTCACACCCCATAAACAAATGATCAATATTTTCAACATGATTACGACACAAAATAACACATAACTGAATCCAAATATACACCCATGTTAATATACACAATTTGGTTGGCACCCAATCATGCAAAATTCTCCGTATTCAAATTTGGGTTTTTAAAGATATATTTTGCTACACCCAGTACAGTTACCACTAGAATAGCAATCACGAAGCAAACTATTTTTTTTCGATTTCAAGCAAGAAAAGTCTAGGATATGTATCCTTGAAAGAGATATCACTGATCCAACACCCACCCAAAATTTAGTTAAAGAATTATCACCTACTTTTTTTGAGAAATTCAAATATAGGACAATACCTTGATTGTTTTCTTGAATTGATAGCATACCTCCATCATTATTTTTGCAATAGATCTCGATTAAACGTGAACAAACTTTTAATATTTTAATCCAACTTTTTCTTTCGAATTCAAAACTTTAATCCATCTTATCTATCAAAATTTCTTTTTTCGACACTCCCTTACATAAAAAATGATACCTCAACCTTTCCAACCGTCTTACAACTTTATCCAAAACTATAAAGATAAACAATATTTTTATAGTGATTATAAAAGTCACTAAAAATATACATTGAACATATCAATAGTTATTTAATGTTCAGTAATCTATATCAATAAAATTCTTAATCGCAAACTCAATGTAGTATCATCAATCTTTTCTAACATAACAATAAATTCTTACATCAACTCTAATTGAAAACCTCAAAATTTTATTATCTTATAAAAATATTTGTTGACGTATGTACAAATAGAATAAAGTAAACATCATTTTAATTGAACAATTTTCTTTGTATTGAAAACCTGCAAAATTTTACTATTATTTTATACGAATATCTGTTGACCTATGTACAAATAACAAAACATCATTGCAACAATACCAACAATAACAGATATTTATTCTTCATCGAAATTACAAAAACGATAGATATACCAGTCCTGCTACGCATTTCATCGAACACATGGTGGACGAATCAAGTGCAAAAGACAACAGCATTACACCAGAATTATTGACACCCACAACAAAGCATAACCAATTAGACTCAGCAATATACACCCATAATTATGTATAACTTTGTAGACGGTGGAATTTCTTTAACCAGAGATCTCAATGGACTTCACATCGGGCTTCTTCACTTCTTCTTTGGGCACAGTAATTGTGAGCACTCCATTTTCCATGGCTGCTTTCACCTGATCCATCTTAGCATTCTCCGGCAACCTGAACCTTCTGGTGAACTTCCCACTGCTGCGTTCCACACGATGCCATGTATCGTTTTTATCTTCTTTCTCGACATTTCTCTCGCCACTGATTTGTAGGATCCTGTCGTCCTCCACCTCCACCTTGATTTCTTCTTTCTTGATCCCAGGAAGATCGGCTTTAAACACATGAGCTTCTGGGGTTTCCTTCCAATCCACACGTGTGTTCACCAAGGCAGAGGTTTCATTTGAAACATGATCTGACGAAGATGAAATTGGGAAATCTTTGAATGGATCCCAGATGTCGAGTGAGAATGGATCGAAGATGCTGCTTCGTCGGCCACCGAAGAAACTTGGAATGATCGACATCTTCCGACGTTTATTTGAAACTGTTGTAACTTGAAAGGAGAATTTGCTTAGCTTGATTGACTGTCTGCGATTTTGCTGATTTATCAAGGGTTATATTTTGATTCGTCACTTCCGACTGGGATTGTGATTTATACATGATTCAGAGTATGGCCGAGAAATTTCTGGATATGGAAACACGAAGAAACTTCCTGATACTTCTAGTTTGTATTTTTCTTTTAGTCCAAACTTTTTAGCATAAATCACCTCCAAAAAAATAATACTTTTTATTTGATTTTTATTTTCCTGTGCGAATTATTAAATAACCATATCAATAGTGTTTGTTATGTTTTTTTAAAGCCATTATATTTTTTATTAAGATTTTATTGCTTGGTTATTTCTTAGACGTTAAATATAACATTTCAATGTTTACTTTTTATTACAAGATATTGATATGTTATTGGATCAAATTAAAAAATTAAAAAATTAAAAAAAAAAAAAAAAAAAAAAAAACTACGGAAGAGTTCTATAATTTATTCAGAATTTTCTTTTTTGTTTCGTTTATTTTAACGACAAGCTTGCGTTAAAACACAAATAAACTAGCCAGAGGTTAGGAGGTAAAAAAAACATTCTAAATATAAGAACAAACAGAGCTAACAAAAGAACAACCAAAATTATAGCCTACAGTAACATTCTAAAATCGGATCACAACTCCATTCACTCCATCTTAGCACCTGCCCTTTTATATTCCTTGCATTGATCCAAAGAAGCGATAGCGATTGTACCTCATAAAGCAACGCCGTGTGCGGTTTTGGACTTGGGTTCGAAGAATGGGCTTTAAAGTTCATGTATCTCCAAATTACCGAAAGAAATACCAACATTATACCCTCATGAATCTTTGCTAGCCTATGGTGACCCACGAACATGCTTGTGAGAGATAGTCCAACAAACGCCACCATCTACATACTTGTTGTCATACTTCATGTGATAGCGGGCAATCCATGAACATGTGTTCCTCTGTTTCTAGAGCTCCGTTGCAAATTATGCACAACTTTGATGTACCGATACCAAATTTAAATAGGTTGGCCATGGATGGAATTTTATCATGACAGATTCACCAAGCAAGAATATTCAATTTTTCGGGTAATAGAGAGTTCCAAGACTAACTACTCTCGCTTAGAGGAAAGACTACATTGTCAATATGCTTCCTGAGAGATAAAACTGAATAAACCCCAAAAGCATCAAGGGACCAAACCCATTTAGTTGGACCATTGTTATTGGTTGACAACTTAAAATGTTCTATAAAAGACACTTTCTCCTTCATTAACAATTTAGGGATATTAGCCATTGTTCCCCAACATCTTCCTTCTCTTTGCTATCGAGGGCCTATCAAATCCACCATCACTGCCATAAATTGCTTTTATCACCTCAGCACGTGTGCTATCCGGATAGTTTTGAATCTCCACCACCATTTGCCTAATATGGCTATATTTTGTTTCGTTGGTTCAAAAAATCTGAATAAATTTTTTGTTCATGGAAATCAATAAATTTTGAGTTCTAAGGTCCTAAAATCCTCGAGTTTTGGGTTTTGATATGTTAGACCCGAAGCTATGAAATATACGTAGAGATAAAGGTGAAAAAAAACCGAACCACAAATAGAAAAATAAAAATAACCAAGACCGAAATAGAAAAAACCGAACATTTGGTTTCTAAGTTTTCAAAACCCAGAATTTGTGGTTTGGTTTCGTCTTTGGAATGAAAAATCGAACTAAACCGATTTATAGTAGCACTTAAAAATATTTATTTAAATAAATATATTGTAAATAAAAATATGTATAAAAGAAACATAAGATGCGGCTTGGTTAGATGGTTTACGATTTGGAAAATGAAATCTAAGGTCATAGGATCGAGCCTTGTCTTAAGAGTGAATATTAATTTTTCTAGCTACCATCTTAAGCGTGAATATTAATTTTTCGAGCTAGTAGCCAGGTGCTACCCCACAAGATCATCCGAGATATTAAAAAAATCATGTTTCATATGTGTTACTACTTTTCAGGGACGAACCGAAGAAGGAGAGAATGGGGAGGTGCCACGACGGTTCGCAAACGAAGAGGTTTCAATTGTGTCCAAACTAATACTCTGGTCTGTACCTCCAAGCTTCAAATGAAGATGCCCCAATAATTAAGAGATGGACACAAAGGTAAACTGGATTTCTCCAATTTTGAATAAAAGTTAACCCTAAGTTCTCCAATTTCAAATCAAAGCTATAAGGTAACCCTGATTTGATTCGGTATTTCTAGCCTTCTAGGTTTTTAGATTTCTCATTTTGGCCTACACACGTTCTTTTCATCATTTTATATCCACATTTGCTAAATCACATTATGCTCTGTTAATGGTTACGTGTGTAACCTATCTTAATACTTGATTTCTAGAAGTTTCGTCCATGAATATATATTTACATTAGATCTCCAACTTGCAAAATCTATTCCTCTACTATTTTAAGTGAAACAGATGTTGCACAATTAGGTCTTTTAGATTTATATTTCTTCTATCCCGGTTCGCTCTAAGTCACTTTGGTTTTTCAATTTTCAGTAATTGCTTCATCTTTTACACCTTTTAATTTGGTGGATAGAAACATAAGGCATAATCTTTTCTTAGAGAAGAAACAAATTTTATAAATTCTTAGTGTATTAATCAGTAACCATACAAGATTTTGTTGGAAATTTATCCTTAAATTTGTTGCACTTCTTCCAAGTTCTTAATGCATGCAAGTTGATTATAAAGGAAGGAAATCAATAATCTTATGCGTCTCTCTTTTCTATCATGGGTCTACCTTTGTCATAGGTATGTAGAGATTTAAATGCGGTCTTTGAATTTTGCATGCTAAGTTGTAATAACACAAATGTTCTATCATCTAATCTAATAGGATTATCAGAGTCATTTCTAAAAATTTATAGAATTCTATTAACTAATAAAAATAAAAATATTTTATATCCCAAACATAGTCATGGGTTTACAATAAAAGCATACATATACTTCGAAACGACAAGGAAGTAAAACCTATTCTAAGTCCTTGTACTCTAGTCTTCACTTCCAGTACCACCTTTGTTGCAACCAAAAACAAAAAAAAAATATCTCTACAACATCAAACAACAATGTCTAGCGAGTTATATTCTTTCTATTTTCATGTTCATATACTCTTTCTATCTTTCATACTCTAATTTTTCTACTTTTCTTATATCTCATGCTATACATCTTAAACTCTTCTCTCATGTCATATATTGTCAATCTTTTCTCATGTCATCGCATCAATCTCTATTCTTCTATCACTTCTCATGCCTCAACGTTCTATTATATCATTGTCGTACTCTACTCTCTATTATTCTTCTCCAACATAATACGATTCTATTCTTCCTAATCATTTAACTCATCTATCTTTCTTATCCACTTCTCAGGCTCATCTCATACTTCCCATATTTTCTATATATGTATCTACCTCTAGCTCTTCTTTATCCTTATCTTTCTATCGACCTTCTCATCTCATATTTCCTCTACTATTCTCTATGCTCTATGCATGCTTGTCTCTTGCTCTTCCTTTTTCATTTCATACTTCTTATACTGATCCCTCACGGATCCCTCTACAACTTCTTTCTTCTCTTGAATCCCTAACGGATTCCTTACTCTTAATCCATCATGAATTATCTCTAAGTCCTTAAAGAACTTCATTACCTTGTTCCACCCGTGGAATCTTTTCACTATATTTTCTAATCATTACATAATCTTTAATTCCCGCATGAATCATCTATTTACATCCTAAAATGGATGATATATCTCTATTCCCTAAGGAACCATCGTCTCATTCCCAAAGGAATCATAATCTTGTCCCCGAAGGAATCTCTATCTCATTCCTAAGGAATCATAATCTTGTCCCCAAAGGAACATCTATCTCATTCCCAAATGAATCATAATCTTATCTCTAAAGGAACATTTATCTCATTCCCAAAGGAATCATAAACTTATCCCATAAGGAACGTCTATCTCATTCCTGAATGAATCATAATCTTGTCCCCGAAGGAACATCTATCTCATTCCCAAAGGAATCATAATCTTGTTCCCGAAGTAACATCTATAACTCCAGTGCCGGCCTAAGCCCAGGGCGAGCTGGGCCACGGCCCAGGGCATCAAGGTGTAGTGGGGCATCAATTTAAAGCATGTTATAGTGTTATTGTATATTGGGCTTTGGTTAGTCCAGTAAAATGTGAAGACATAAGGGGCACGAGGCGGGTAACAACTGATGGAGACCTAATTAACACCATCAACACAGACGCATGGTGACTCTTCAATTCTTCTTCGATCTAAAACACACGCCAAAGATGAAGAACACGAGGCGTCGGGCGTCCCTTCTGGAGAATGGAGAGGACCGTTACACCCTTGGCTATATCGATCACTCATAGGTCATCACTCTCTTCCTCTCTCATCTTGCAGCCTTCTCTCGCCCTTTCTCTCGTTAGCTTCTCCTTTGTTCTTTCTTTCTAAATCGACCTCTACTACTCTAAAGTTGTAATAGTTTACCTATTTCAGTAAATCTGTTGTATTAAAGTGAAGATTCAAAGGTGCCAAATTGGGATTGATTGAATTTGTCCTCCTGAAGTCCTAATCCTGTAATCAATAATCCAGTAATCAGTAATCCAGTAAGTTTTATCTATTATTTCAAATTTCTTGTATAACCTACTTAAAGTTTCGAAAATCTAATAGTGATTACTGGTTAAAATTTATAAAATTTCAGTTTTCTTATATAGCTTACTGCTTAGGGAAGTGAAATTTCGATCAAGTTGCAGACTTGCAGGCTTGTTCATCGTGAACTACACTAAGCAGTCTAAGCTTCATTAATTTTCTAGGTAATTCTTTTTTTTCTATTTCTTGTAATTGTTCTGATTTATGATCAAAATAACTTTTATTGTTTTTATATAATCTGAAATCTGATATGTGAATTCGTATTTTGATTTTTCTAGATAAACTGTTGT